AGCTAGATTGTTGCTGTTTTTTTTTTTGAGTGGGCGTGGCCAGTGCTTTGAAATGCAAATCTCGTCGAGACAAAGAAGAGACGACGGCCAGGTAAAGGAAAAGTTGGTTTTTTTGACAGCTGCCTGCAAGTATGCAACATATTTTGTTGCATGAAAAACCAAAAGCCGCAAAAAATGAATAAAATACCATACACAAAGTGCGTTAAGACTACAGTGGGACTCAGATATATTATAAGTTAGCAGTAACATATTAAAAGAGCATTAATGTTATTAGTTTCTTAACTTATTATATTAGAATTGAGCACAAAACAGCGGGTTTAACGTACACCTTTAAATGTATTTTCCAAGAATCCATATCTTAATCTTAATCCCAGCCCATTACCCACCTTTTTTCTCACTGCACACTCATATGCAAAACATTTCGAGCGTAGGCCAAGCTTTTGGCTTATTGTGGTTTATTTTGTTGTTATGTGAATTTTTGTGACCGTTTCGAAACTTTTGGCAAAGCTTCCGCTTTTCACCTCCCTGTGCAACTTAAGTGCATGGCACACGCTTATCGGTCACATCCATTCGCCCCCAAATCACACACACACACACACATACATAGAAAGAAAGAGAGAGACTTTTGGGGCTTAGGCCAAGATTTTGGGCCAACTGTGGGCCGACAGTAAGTTCGGTAAGTGGACTTTGAGTGACCTTTTTGTGGGGATCTTGTGGCCTGTTCGGTGTTCCTGGACTGCTTCCTGGCCCAACACAGATTGGGTTGCCGAATGGTTAGTCGAAAGTTCAACACACAATAAAATTATGCAAATCTTGGGATCAGCCGCTTACGATTTCCACTCATCCATATATATATATATAGACACACACATACATACTCACACACACACATATTCTGCGGCCTACGCACTTAGTTTCCTTTCGGAAGGATGTTGGAAAAGTTTGCTTGCGGTCCTAGTTCGGGTTCAATTTTTGATTTATTAATTGAAATAATTGGTAAAGTTGGCCAAAAGGGTTGCGATTGAGTGGCAAATTGGCAAAGGAATTGATTTGTGTTCGGAAAGAGAAATGTCTTTGTTGGATATTTTATGTTTTGTGGTTAGAGATTTAAGGAACTTGTTTAAGTCTGTAAAGGCTGTTAGTAAAATCTATCAATTGACCAGAAAAATGGTTTCTTAATCCTTTCTCCAATAAACAATCACATTTTCTAAAGATTTCCAGTAATACTTAATTGATTTAAGCATGAGGAACCGCTTTATTATAGAATTTACGTTACTGAGGTCAAGAATTAAGCTATTCACCCTTTTAATAAAGGGTATTGTCATCCAAAACAGGAAACCAGAAGTGGAATCAGTATGTGTGAGTGCGTGGGTGAAGCGTCTAACAACCCAAATAACTGCTTAATTTGTTTTTCCTTCGACCCCATCCTTTGAAAAGCCCTAACAAAAATTCACCTTTGCTGTTTGCTTGCACAGCAGCAACAATAACAGCAACAAAAGCCACAGCAGGCGATGAGGGTAAACAATGGCTAACCTGTGAACCCAAACTCAAACTCCAACTCGAAAGCCCGAAAAAGCCCCGAAAAACCCCACCGTAAAAACCGTCAGCTGGCTGGCTGTTAGTTTGTTGACTTTAATGGACCAGTTTTATAGAAGAGGAGAGTGCCACAAAAAAGGGATAGCCCGGAAAAATTGACACCGCCTGGTCGTCACATGCGGTTCAACGCCTAAAAATGAGGAGATTTTGGCCAAACAAGGCCAACAGAAATTATTTGCCACTTTTTCGTAGCTCTTCTGGGTTTTGAGAGGGTTAAGAGCGTTCTGGGCTTGTTTATGCCTAAATCAATTTGCCGCATGAACGGGTCTTAAGTGTAAGCGAAGGGAAAAGGATACGCCCAAAGGACCCTCATCGTATCTGCCCCCCTCCCCCCCATCACCATCTCCTTTAACCCATTCATATTCATACGTGTCCCGGACTAAAGGATTATTAGGAACTTTCCACTCCAAAAGTGAGACGTGAGTGGCCTGCTTTAGAGGTCTGCGGCCTGAATGCGGTTGGGAAGGGCGGTAAAAATGTGAAAAATTAATAAAAACAAATTATAAAGGCATGTTTAACTCTACCCCCGCCCACGCAGCAGAAACAGGAATTTATGCTGTTTATAAATATTCTGGAATTGTTTTTGCCTGCGGCATCTGAGCATCCAAGTATTTGGCCCATCTCAGGAACTCTTTCACATATTAAAGCCACAGAAACGCCGGCGGAGGAGTATAACAGACATGAGGTTTGACCCATGTGCGCGGCGGGGTAAGGGGAGCTGCATTCTTGGCCATATGCAAAATGTGGGTCAAATAAGCCAGAAAGGATTGCGCACAGAGCCATTACGTCATGCACGTGCCACACCTCAGCAGGTGGGCGTGGCCCAATGTCTCTGCCTGCCCCCGTTCCCTTTTTTTTCACTACCACCCTCTCGCTCCCTGTCGAAAATGCCACAATTCATCTTTTTAATCGCGACCCATAAATCAAAATGTGCGCCACAAAAATGCAGGCCAGTTGGAAAATTCTTGTAGCAAAAAAAATCATGTTGCATACTTTGCGGAGCGCTTTAAGTTTGATAGGAAAATTATATAGGGAAAAGTCATAGATGTCTATGCTATAATTGCTGTTAAGGGAATGGAAAATGTGAATCTACTTTTATATATCACAAAATATAATGATTTTTTTTTGGTTTAAAACTTAACTTGACAAACTTTAGGTGTCCCTTATTTGACCAAATGTTATTCACTTTTCTCACTACTTAACTTTTACAACTAAAATATATCATTAGTTTATCAATTTGCATATACAAAACACTTCTGTTAATTGAGGTATTTGTCATAAATCTCAAACCTGAAGCATTTGCTCATCCCTTTGACCCCTGTGTGTGCCTGCAGGTCGATCAAAACCCAATTAACTTTGGCTGTTAAACGAACCAGCATCTGCCCCCACACACACGACAGCCAATAATAATAATTACAGAGCAGGGCAAATTAGTTGGCCAAGATGAAGTGAGAGGGGAGACTCCTTTCACTTCCCGTCACATAAATCAAACTAAACTCCCTATGCATGTCCTTTGTTGACCATGTTCTGGTCGATTGTGGACCAAGTCGTTAATTGCCTTGGCAAACTCTCACATCGCCTTGGTCCTTTTGCGAGGACGAACCTCTGAACCTCTCACAAGGTATAGGAAAAATATTTGTGTTTTATTTGGTTACACACATTTTGGTTGCTGTTGTAACTGCAAATTGATTATTACTAGCCAAAACGCAGGCAAATGAACGAGTTGAGGAGATGGGATGGATGTTAGGGGGGGCTTACTGGAGGGTGTGGAGGGAATCGTGGCAATGGAGCCGCAATCTGTACAACTCTCGGCTCCGCATTTCCCTTGCCGCTCCATTGGAGTGCGGTTTTTGTCAACGAGCGGAGCGACAGGCACGTCGACATTGCAATGTTGTCGGTCGTCATGGGTTAACATGGCTAGGTTGGTTGGCAAAAAGGGCATACAGAGAGAAAGTTTTTTAAGTGATTTAAAGAAAGATTTCATAAATAATTTTACCAAATATTTTTGTATTAAATAAAATTATTGAAATGGCTTAAAGTTATGTCAAAAAGTACTAATTTTTGACATGCATTTTTAGGTTTTTTTTTCAGTGATTGAGCATTAGAAAGATTCGCCACAATCGCGAATCTCGCTGCGAGCTGGGAGTCTCCGGTTTCAGTTGGCAGCTTCGGCTTTCAAGACCCGTTCTCCCCTTGATGATTACACAAAATTGAATGCCCGTGCATCCTCTCCGTGGATGTGTCTACAGACTCACACATAGACATCTCTGCCCGTTTCTCCGTCCCTGACTGTGTGTGTGTGTGTCAATTTGAGTGTTGAAAAGTGGTCTCCAGTGGCGGCGGTTTAGTTTGCTTTTCGCGTCCCTGCCAATCCCTTAGCCCTTTTTCACCATTTCTCTAACGGTTCTCTACCCGGCTGAGAATTGCGAATTTCTGCTTGCCATTTGTGTGCAGATAACTTTGTTGTTAGCTGGTTTGTTGTTTTCCGTTTGCATGCGCGAGAATGCTGGGAATGCGTGTGTTTTATTTATACACTCCCACATCATCAGCCTCCCTGCTCATTTCCCCCCCCTAAAACCTAAGCTCTCGATGGGCGTTTCGCCTAAATGTACTCCAAATTCAAATTCAATTGCTACGTTGAAGTTTTGGTACTTGAGTAGCAAAAGTATCTAGCAGATACATTTGCAAGGCCTGGACTGTAGTTTTCTTTTGAAAATCAAATGCCAAACACAGTCTGTCCTCGAAGTGGGAAGGAAGTTTTGGGAAAAGTTTTTTTTTGCTAAAGATATTTTTAGACAAAAAGGTTTTCAAATATCCAGGAAAACTTGCAAGATGTGACAATGATGATGGAAGGAATCTTCTACTTTTTATTAGCTTACGCCATCAAATCACTTTAAATCCTTAGAAAACATGGTCAAAACCCATAACCCATAACATTTTTCAATTTTCCCTCCCCCATTACAACAGTGATTATACATTTTCAAAACTAATATTCACACATCGTAAATACAAATAAAAATAAACTTCGTTTCGCTTAATTACAGCACGCACTGTGCCGAACTCCAGGACAGGAGAACAAGTTGTTGCATAGTTCCTTCGAGTGAGTTCCTGGGCATCCCCTTGCTGTAAAACCTCAACCCAGAGTCGCTAAGTAGAGCAAAGAACATTCTCGTTACTTGTTTCTTGTCGATTGAGCGAACCAACAAAAGCCGCAACAACTTGCCAAGTAAGTTTCGAGTCGCTATTTCGAAACACAACCCAAGACCCAACATTCAACACCCAACGCCCAACGCCCCCCTCTCTTAACCCAAGAAAACTTCTAGCCACTCCAGTTATCAGCCGCAAATAGGCGGTGAGTACTACATACATATGCAAATATTCCCCGGGAGAAACTTAGGACTCACCTCGAATGTTGTGAAGACGATTTTCTCGATGGAGCCAAAGTAGCGTTCCCACAGGACCTGAGTCTGCTGGCGTAGGGCGAAGATGCGTTCCGCAGATATGGAGCGCACAATATCGGGCACCTAGATATGGGAAGAAACAAGAGAAGATTTAAGAGGGGGTTAAGAAATGGTTACCAACTGTGTGCATACGTAATCCTAGCTTATCCCGAGCCAACTTGAGTAACAATGCATTAATTTACAATGCACACCTTAATTGGTTAAAGGATTTTACCAACCCCAAACCCCACCCCCAACACACCAACCCACTGGTGCCATTCATCATAATTGCCGGGCAGAAGTGGCTGGGCCACTAAATTCAAACAGTTTAAAGAGTTTGCCCAGCCAGTCGAGTCGAGTTTCGAGTCCGTGCTCAAGTTTCCTGCTCAAGTTAACTTAATTAATTGCATTTCCTGCCAATAAACTACAAAGGCAAACATGCCAATGGACGGGGGACAGGAAGTGCAAGAGGAAAACGGAGAAAGAGTACCAGGAAAAGGAGCAAGGGGCCATTACCAAGGGCAGGGCAATTGGCAAACATTGCGCCAAGACTTTGTCGCGAATGAAGTGCGACAGTAGCAGAGCATTTCACAGAGAACAAATATATGGCAGGAAATCTTTAGAGGTTTATAAATCTCATCAAACTTTCCACAAAGAAATACGTTCCTTAGATACTAGCTTGTTTTCAAGCGGTTAAAAGGAATGGAATCATTTTCCTAATACTTTCTGCTTTGTTACAAATCTTACAAGGTTTTAAACCAAAACCCATTTTCTTTCTGTGCAACATCAGCAGTTGCAGTCGCAAAAGCGTGAAGAAAAGGACACTGGCAGGCAGGCAAACAAATGAAGCGGGACACGCACACCCAAATACCCCTACACCCCCACACCCAGAGAGAACGAGCGAAGGAGTGTCCAAGAGCTTTCTCCTTGGAAAACACGAAAAGGTGCGGACACTTGGACCAAAAGCTGCGAACCACTCACCTGGCTCTGATTGGGAAATCTTCGCCGCAAACAGAGACGGCAGGCAGTGGGTTAAACGCTCCACCTAATGGAGGAGCCAAAGTCCGATAAGCCTTGAGTGGGATTCTTGGTCCGGGTGCTGTGGTGCTTTCCGATTCCTTTTTACAGAGAATTAAAGCAGGTATTTTGCTTGTCCTTGGTGGTAACAGGGATACCGAGTTTCTTTGTGACACATTTTCTTAGGTTTCTTTCTGTATTTAAACATGGATTTTAATTTTTGGTTTGCCAAACTCTAGAAAAACGGACCACATTTTATTTTTTTTTGTAAAATTTTCTTTCAGCATCCATCAAGTTGAAATGTTGATGACACTTTTTCCTGTTCGTTAGAAACTTTTAAATTAATTTCTTGCCCCATAACTTGCTGGCTGGCCAAGGACTTTGCCAGTAGTTCTGGCTAACAGGTGCACAAATCTTGGTGCACTCTTGGCAGAATATTCATCAATGGCACAAATGGCCCCGGACATTTGGAGAGGCCAATAAAAAAAAGTGCAACAAATATTTGCGACGCTGTAAAGTGACAGCTCTCCGGGTTGTATTTATGGGGGGTAACACCTTTCCAAACAGTCAACCAACCGTAGCACATAAACAATGAAAACTTTCTTTCGTTTTTCCTCTCTTTTTTTTTTTTTTTTAGACAGGAACCAAATGAAATCGCTTTGGCCAAACGATTCCAAAATATGTGGCACACGAATGCGCTGTGCCTTCAATTTTTCATATAGAGGTTATATCCCAACTATATATATAGCCATCCATAGATATCAATAAATATATATATATATGCGCCACGACTCACCTGCAGGAGGAGGCGCTCATCGGCCCAAATGGCGGCCTGCTTCCAATCGATTTTCGATTCAAACGGCAACACCCAGGCATTGGACAATAGTACGGGAATGCAACCAGCCTGCAAGGCTTCAAGGAATCTGCAAAAAAAAATAAGGGACGAACATACCAAAAAAAAAAGAAGGAAAAAGGAAAACTCATGAAAAAATGGCATTGTGAAATGTAAAATGAAAATTGTTTTTTATGTTTTCCACCCATTTTTTATTACTCTTTTTTTTTTTTTTGGTTTTTGTTTGTGCTTACCTAAAGGAACCCAAACGACGTCCGCGCGGCACCAGGCAAAAAGTGGAATTTTGCAGTAAGGTCTCGTAGTCGTACCTGAAATGCAAGAGAGAGCAAAAGGAACAGGTTGAGTGGAAATGTGTGTGAGAAAGAGCCAGCAGAACATGTAAATTAGTGAGAGCCATTGCATTGCATAATGGGATTCTGGAGCAATTAATCGAACAAAGGTGCCTGGCGACGAAAATGCGACCCCAAGGAGATTCAGACATCCGTGGAGAACTTACAGGCATTACGATATGATAATGGCTGGTAAGTGGAGGAATGTATAAACGAATTTGCTTCACAAGAAGATAAAATCTTGCAAATGTGTTTAAAGGGTTTAAGGAGGAGAGGAAACTATCGAGGTGGTAGCTTAAAATCGATATTTTGACAGTACGAATAGTAATGAGAATCATTACTCAAGCTATTTGTGATTTAGTTTGAAAAATCATTTCATAAACAAGCTTGATTAATCTCAATTTCCCAAATATTTAAAGCCACATTAATTTCCTAAATAAACCACAAATTGAAATCCCAAAGATTCATTCGGCTTACATTAAAGTAATTATCTTTCCAGTTAAGGGATTATTTTCCTTTTAGCCAGAGATTACATTTCTTTTAATTTCTAAGAAATTACTTGATATCCTTTCCTTTGCCATCGCTCGGCTGCTAAGCAATTGAAACTGCTTTATTCAACTCGCTCTGCTTTGCTCTTTGATATTCGGCGAAATTCCTGTAATTCCAGCTTAATGCTCAACAGGGCGTATGCTTAGCATTTGCTCACATTACTCATACGCCGCGTTATCCGACTACGCAAAGCGTAAGTGAAAAGTGGAAAAGGGGAGGATTTTCAGAAGCTGAGTCCGACCACAGTGCGCGCATTGTGTGGCCACTTTAATCTTTAATTCCAAAATCAAAGCCACGAAATGCATCAAACAGCCATAATACGTATACGCCATGTACGCCAAACATTGATTCAGGTGTATGTGTGTGGGTGCGTGTGTTCGTTAGTGTGGATGTGTATTGTCCGCAGGGGTTGGCGGTTTTAGTTGGGCGGGAATTAGGAGGCGCTTTTTGGGCAGTGGCATTGGTTGTGCTGGCAGTTTACAAGTTAAGTTGCGCGTAAAATTACATGTAGTTGGGCATGTTCTGCCCTCCGGGCAACATAGCCAACAACCAATCCCTATCATCCTTCCATACCCTTGCTATTCCTCGCCCCCTCATCATGGAACTCCCCCCCTAAATGGTCAGCAATTTGAGCTCGGTACATTCGCGTTTTAAAAGCAGAATCAGCAAAAAAATTTATTAGAAAACTGCATGCGCAGCTCTTTGGACATTGACAACACACCCAAAAACGGCAGAGCGTGAGAGAGCAAGCTTTGGAAAGAGAGAAGGAGAGGAGAAGGCAGCCTGCAACAGTCCTAGTCCTCGGTATGAATAATCTTGAGCAAACAACATAAATTGCATGTTGGCTTGGTTCTGACATTTTGGCGAGAGTTGAAAAATTACACTGCCAAATGCATAGGCAGGCAACTAACGTTATGGTCTAGCAAGAGGGTGACGGCATCTGATAAGTAGAAAGAGTATAAAAAGAATAGCGATGATAAGGTTTATTATATTATGTAATGCACCCTTAATGCTTAGTATGAAAATAAAATCGGAAATTATGTTAAAAATCTTATAAAAATATTAAATATTAAGAAGATTCTTTGCTTGTACTTTCAACATAATTGGTTTTCACTTTACAATTTATATTTTTCTATAGTTTATATTCTTTAATATTTACACAAAAATCATCTTCAAAGCTTAAGGGGAATATAACTTTCTACCAAAACGGAAACTCAACCAAAATATTTAAAGTAAATTAATGCTGAAAATTCTCAGTTTATTTTCTTTTGGCTATTTGGGTTGAATGGGTCATTTGCTTGAATTTGCCTGGTCGAAAAGAAAAGCCAACATTTTTATTGCATTTAATTTATGTTGAGGGGGAAATTCTTTTACTTTTGCACTTTCGCGCTGAGAGGGGCGTGGTTTTTGGCCTAACTAATTAGACAACATTATGCATACCAACTTGGTTATACATTCGAGTACATGTGTCGGAACATTTGCAGCTCCTTATGCAGGTCACTGCACTGGCTTGTATATATATATATATGAGTTTGGTATCCTGGGAGAAGCCCCTCTTTCTGCCCGATTTTCCATTCGCTTGTTAGCTACTTGTTTAAGCAATTAAGAGCCGCCAACATGCAATGCTCTTGTTGTTGTTGTTTCTGTTTAGACATCAGCTTAGTTCGACTCCCCCTTCTGTTGCCCAACTTTAATTAAATGATTTTTAGCTTTCAGCCAAGTTAGGCGAACAGTTCTGTTCGGTTCAGTTAAGTTCGGTTGTTGTTTTCGGCTCAGAGTTCCGGGCACCCCAGCCAGCAACATGCGAGCAAAACTTTTACTATTTACACGCGTTTGTTGTCAAAAGTTCCTAGCACTGACTGTTTCTGTTTCTGTTTCGAAAAACAGAGATGTTTATGCCACTGGCCGTATGGCTAGTTAAGTTGCAAAAGCAAAAGGCAATGCCACTTCATTAGGCATTTAGACAGAGTTGGCTATGTATATGAGTTAGCAGGCAAAATGCATTGGTAATTAATATGCCTTTTTTAAAATTTTCTTCATTTGCATTTTCTAACAGCAACTAACAGCTCTCCTCTACTATTTATTGGCAAAAGGAAGTGCTACTGGCTGAAAGTTTATCAACTTGTTTACAGCTTGCTTGCCGTTTATTCACAGAGTTATTTATTTTTTAACTTTCCCTCAAACAGTTCATAACTTGCGTGTTTTATATTAATAACTTAAGCAACAAGTTGGGAACTCGCTTTTATTGCCTTTTCCTTTAAAGCCTTGAACAACTTTCTTCTATAGCTTTTCAAGGTTAATTATGCAGCAGTATTATTAATTACTGCAGTAACTAACTTTTCTAGGGAGTGAATTTTAAAAACTGTAAATATAAAAAGTTATCTAAAAGTTAAAAAGTAGATTTATTGCTCTTTGATTTATCTGATCTATTAACCAATGACTTCTCTGTAATCATGTTGGGAGCCTAAAAAAAAGTACTTTTCTAGTTAATAAACATTTTTTATATCAGTTTCTTATGTTGCAAAAGTTTTCCACTTCAAATTGGTTTTATTTCCAAATGAAGAACTTCTCTTACGATTTCATAAAGCTTTTCCTAAGAAGGCAAACAAATTATGAGCTTCTTTTATATTGCCCGGGAAAAACTTTGCTCAATAAGAATTTCTCAGTACACACTCGTCAATTACTTAGTCAGAGTTTGAATCGTTTGAATTCCCCACCTGTTGCCATCGATTTGCCAAAGAGATTCAGCAGGAGGAGGGGAAAATATAACCGTTGGAGGAAAGGAGGGAAACCACAAAGTAAGTCACTTCAGTTCATGTCAATTGCTTGAGCCTAGGCCAGCAGAAAATTAACATAAGCAACTGGCAGGGGGGGGTAACCCACTAAGCTCGCAGCAGGCATATAATTTAAGTGGTTTCCAGCTGTCAAAGGTTGCCCTCCTGCTGCCGGTGGTTTCATTTTCCTGTGCTTTGTGGATACTACTTCTTTTTTTTTTTTTTTTTGTTTGCTGTCCCGAAGCTGTTTGTTGTTGCTGTTCGGGGAATTTGTGTTCCTCGGGCTGATTGAGTGACTGACAAACTAACTGACTGACTGACGGGGCGGGTAGGGTAGGGAATGAGGTTGTGATTTCCCATTTAGTCTCATCATTTGGGCTTTGCCTTTGACAGGTGGAGCATCCACCTTTGGTTTATCACTCCTTCCTCCTCCTCCTGGCCCTACTGGAATGTAATCCACCTTTTGTAGTTTTCCGCATATCGGTTCTTTTTTTTCCGAGCTCCTCTTGCCAAGCACTTATGTATCGTTCTTTTGTATTTTTGTGATTTCGCCTTGTCATCTTTGCGTTTTTGCCAAGAACTCTTATAGTTTCGGTCTCGGTGGCGTATGCGCAACATTTAGTTAATTGCTGAAAGTGAGCCATACGAAGCATTTCGCCAATGGCTGGAATTGCCTGTCAGCTGCAGCAAAATGCAAAAATTAATTAAAAACATCCTAAAAACAGCAAAAATAAGAGCAAAAACGGCAAAACTAAATAAATGAGCAAAAGAAAAAAATGAAAATGTCAAGAATGAAAAACCAAGCAAGTTGGCAAAAAGTTTTCGCGAAAAACGGGTAGGAATTGCGATGAATTTCAATGAAAATTAAATTTTTCAAAAACAGCATTTGGAATAAAGAGAATTTGGAAAGCATTTCGAATGCGGGCCAAGTCCCCAGAAAGCAGACGGAAAGCAAAGAACACAGAAAGCAGCACAAACAAAAAATCAAATAGAATGAGCAGATAGAAAAAGGCATCCCACCCTCACGCAGGAAAATGCCTTAAAAAAAAGGACGATGGAAAACGCAGCTGTAAAAGTTGCCATTGCCATTGTTTGGCCAGAGAAGCAGTAGAAGCCATGGCAAAAAGATGATAAGAAAAAGCAGAGCTGCAGCAGGACCAAAACTAAAGGGTACAGAGAAAGAAATGCATTTATCTTGTTAAATTTTAGGGTTAAGAGTCATTTGGGAGTTATGAAAGTAATTATTAAATACTTTACCTTATTTAAAAAAGCTCTTATCACAAGCAGATTTAAATATCTAAATAAAATATTAAAAATTTATAAATCTTATGAAATTTCTTCTCTGCATGCTGCAGCGGCAGCATAAGCATAAAAATAAGTGGAAGTGGCAGCGAAACATTAAACATGGCGCATTAGTTACAAGAGCAAAGCTCGCGTCAAGCGTTGTCGAGAGACCGTTCGCCCCCACCCCATCCCTTGACAGGCCCTTTTCCTTTTGGCCATTCTCCTGGCCATTTCCCCAGCTTTTCTTGTGGCCATCGTGGTAGTCGCTTGTCGCCAGCTTGTGATAATGGCTCATAATGAAAGCAGCAGCAGTAGCAGCAGCAGAAGCAAAAGCATAACCGCATGAAGACGCCGTGCAATTGCGAATGCAGCTCACACAAAATGCGTGTGGGAGTTGCAACAGAAAGGAAAAAGGCTTTTCCCCTTCCACATTCTAGCTGTGTGTGTGTGTGTTAGTGTGTGTTTCGACCAAAATACATAGAAAAACAAATGCATTTACGATTATTACAGAAACTCAAAGACATTGTTATGTCCGCACTAGAAATGGCGTTGTTACCATAAGTTCGAGTAAAATCAAATTTAAAGAATGCAAAGTGATAAAAATGTACATCTTGATTTTGGGATTTTCTAACATAAATTCTAACATTTCCCTAAAACAAAATAAATATTTATCTCTTGTAAAAATAAACATTCTTTAACTTTTAATCAAAATTTAAAGATTTAATTTAATTTTTTTTAAGATTTTTCAAGACAGAAGTCTTCTAAAATCACAAACTCGTTAAAAAAAATAATCAAGAATTTCATGAAAAATTCACTGAATATTTCCGTACATCGACAACGGCATATCGCTGCTAAAAAGCAAAAGTACCTTCGAGGAAAGTCTGGTTATTATTTTCTGGCTGGGCTCATGGCAGGTCCTTATGCCCAGGACATTACAGCAATGGCCGGCAATTACTTGGCACGTTTTTTGGGGCACCTTACACCGACACACCGACACACAGCGATATAATAGCAAAGGGGAAATAGAAGAAAGTACTCAAAGAAATTGCCATTGCAGGAGGAACTGAGCAGCTATATAGCTCCTGCTCGAGACCCGGGCGCCTTCTGTTCCTTCTCCTGATTTTGCGCCTGCAAGTGTGTCGCCTTTTTAAAGTGATTTATGTGGAAATCTGAGATTAACGTGGAAAGTGGCAAGCAGTGCGAGAGAAGGGAAGGGGGAAAGGATAGCACCTCGAACAGGTGCAACAGCAGCAGCTGCACCTTGCAACGTTCCGAAACCGAACTGAACCGAAGTTTTCACTCGCCCTCCTGCATTCGTCCTGCATGTTGTTGATAATGATGATGCTGGCATGAAAATTTATTACTTGGGAAATTACATTATGAAAAATGCATAAAGCCGGATCCAAGGGGGAGATGAAATAAAGGTGGGGCATTGGGCTCCTTTAATGAGTTGCGATTCTTCGCTTTCATATGTTTAAATTAGTTTGCATGTTCGACGAGGTGCCAGATTTTAAATTAACTTTAATGGAGTTGAAGGTGAAAGGGATCGTAAGTAAGATTTGGTCGTAAGCTGTTCTTTGAGGTGAACTATGGGTTTGACTAATTTATGATTTAAAAACCTAAAAAAAATATTTCAAATATTGTTTTAAAATCACATTCCTGAACTAAAGCTGAGAACCTCAATATTTTTACCAAAACAATATCACAATATGAAATGGTATACCCCGTTGAGCTTGTAATAATTTGCGATCGACTTGCATTTTTACCTCAAAATGTAAAATTTTGGGCATCAAAAATTATCAAAAATTCAAAAAATAACTGTATGACTTTTTTGACCAATTTATGATTAAAAAAAACCAACCAAAAAATTATTTAAAACTTTCTTTTATATCCTCCAAAAAATTCAAAATTTTTTAACAAAAAAATGTCAAAATATGGTAAAAATATGAAAGTTATCTAACCTGTACGCCTCTTTTTAACCAATTTATGACATTAAAAACTAAAAAAAAAATAAAGCAAAAATTATTTTAAATTCATTTTCAATAAAAACTCTGAGTTTTGTCGAAAAAATACTAAAAAATTGGCAATGCAGTGCCATACCTCGTTGAGCTAAAAAATAAATCCACAATGGATTGTCATTTAAATCTAAAATGATAAAACCCATCATCAAAAATGCAAAAAATGTCAGCAAATATGATTTTTTCAATTCCTCCTAGAAGATACCACATGTAAATAAAAATAGTTGCTGATGCACCACCAAAAATTGAGTTTCCTCAACGACCTTGAACTCCTGCAAAAGCTTTCTCGTAAAGCTGCACACACCAATGAGCAGCCACACACACACACGCACATTAACACACTCGCAAATAAGTTTCGAAAATTGCGTATTGAAAATGGCCAACCAAGAAAAGAAAAAACGAAAAAAACTTTATAAATTGTTAAGCTCAAATTAAAGGCCCACAAAAAGTTGAAAGTTGCCGCGGGACAACCTTGAGGGCACTAGGGTGGTGGTTACGTGTGGCTGCAACAGTTGGCGTGGCGTGGCAGCAACGTGGCGTATACGTAATTTCGTCGCGTCTGCTGTTAGCGGCAAGAAAAAGAAACTCAGACACACACTCGCATAGCCAAAAAGGAAAATGAGGAACAAGTTTTACTCCCAAGGACATTTACATGGCGTCTCATTATTTGCCACAGTTGCTACTTTCGGCTGACTTCAAAAATAGGCGAAAGTCTGACAAACAAGCAAAGCCGCATTTTTATACACTAAGAGAAGGATATTTAAGTGTTCAAATGTTAAGATTTATTAAGGATTTTGGGTAAAAAACTATGCAGATCATGTCATTAATGTTAGCTTTATTAATATTTTTGTAAATTTCCACATTTCCTAAAAACAAATTATATTTTGTGATAAAAACAATCTCTAAATATTTAACTTTTCAAACTAACATTTTCCTCTGCCAGCTGACCCCTTTTTCGCTAGGGTTCAAAAGGCGTGTTAAGTAGTGCCAACCGCAAAGCCAAAAAAGAAGCTAAAACTGGATAAAATCGTTGACCTCGTATCAGAAACCACAAAGTAAAAAAAAAAAAAAAGAGAATATATATAAAATAGATTTCACGTCGTGTGGCTTGGCTTGTTTTTGAGCCATCATCATCAGCATTATCATCATCAGTGGCGGCTACTCATCAGGCCATGTCCTTCTACCCGCGAAGCCACTGCATATGGTGCATGACATCGTCATCGGCTGTAAAAGCCATTGACGCCTTAGGCTCATTACAACAGCAACAACAAAGGAGCACCTCCCCACAAAAAGTCCGCAACAGAAAAAAATTTCATTAAAAGCAGCTCAAGGTTTTTGAATGCAGTTGGAAAAGTTTCTTTCCTTTTTTTTTTGAAGTCAGGCGCTGTGGTGAAGGGTGAGTCGAAGTAATAACAAAACTTTTTAATGGATTCTGTGTTGCGGAATATGGCTGTATATTTAAAAAAAAAAAAATATATATATATATAGCAAGTAGAAGCAATTAAATCAGAGTTTTAATGTTCTTTGAATTGGTCTAAGTTAGGTAGTAAAATTAATAGAACAAAACTCTGAAAGAGACACAAAATATTCATAAAAGATTATTACTTTATATCAAATCTTCTTACAAAAATATACTTAGAAAAATAAAGGATTAAAAAAAAGTTAACTTAATTAAAAAATAATATTTTTCAGCTTAAGAAAGCTTGTTAAGTGATTTTTTTTAATAAATTTCTCATTGGTTTGATTTCATTTTGATTTAATTACTTCAAGTTATTCTTACTTACTGATATAGATCAAAAATTTTCATACATATTCATAGCCCTCTCTCTCCCCAATAACCCAAAATTGATGCTCCACTGACAAATATTATCTCCACGACTGTCCTTTTGTTGGGCGTCCATCAAAAACGAGAAAACTTTACTAAGTCATTGTCAAATTGAATGGATTTTGGTTTTCTAGCATCAGATTTTGCTACCACTCCTCCCCCTAAATACCCTCATCACTATGTATATTAACCGAGGGAGGCAACAACCCCAACCAAGAACAACAACAAAAGCATTTTGCATATTAATGCCCGGGAAAAACTCATCAAAAATACAGAAGCTCAACTCACCCAAAGAACTTTGGCGCCCACGCGCATTCATGAGCTTTTAGAGATTGTGTGCAAAAAATCGTTGATGCTATTCAAGGGTATTATGCAATTTTCTCTAAATATATATATATATATATAATATATAGTTAAACCTAACATACATGAGGGGCAAGATAGAGAGAGAGAGAGAGAGAGGAAGGAAAATAGCAAAAGATATATCTGACAGGTGCATTAACGAAGTTTCCAGACAGCGAAGGCCCTCTTGATAAAAAATGATGTGAGCGGGAAAGCAATTTGCTTGATTATGTAGAACAGTGCAGGGAGTTGAGTCTGGAGAATAGGGATGATAGAAGGGGGAGGTTGGGGGCAGGGTAGCATAAATCGCTGACGCTTGACGCCAAAGCAGATTTGTCGCATAAGTCATGTCAAATTACGAGAGAGTCAAGGGAACAGACAGCAGGGAGCAGGGAACAGAGCAGCAGGGAGCAGTAGAAAGAAAGGCTTGCCACCGAAAGTGGCACACAAAATCTGAAAAATTACATTCAATTAAAGGTAAGAGGGAAAACGGTGGCGTTGACGTTAGTCCTTGTTTGACAAGCATTTTTTATGAGAGTTTTTAATGAATTTATTTTAAGTTCTTCTAGCAAATGTGTTAAATTTATGATAAATAATTGTTTTTTTTTTAAGAAACTAAAAATTGAAATCGACTTTACAAAAATGTTTCCTTAGAATTTGAATCCTAAGCATGCTTTGATTTTCTTACCATTCTCAGTTAATATTTCCCCAACACATGTCAAAGATACACCTAATCTTGATACTCTTAATCCTTCCATTGACCAAATCCAAGTACAACGGATCTCTTGACATAATATGCGTGGATTGCAAGAAGGTTCTCACCGATTGCGAAATTTCAACAACCGGACATATATGCAGAGTAGCTAGAAATTCGCCTCGCACTCATTGGACTCACAAGCCCGAGTATCATCTGGATTTGCGAAAATGCATTCCGAAAGAAGAGAAAGTTTTGTGTGTTGAGGGTAAGTTATGTGCAAGATTTACTCTTTACTTTATCTCTCATTTATAATTTTAGATAGAAATTTTAGATATGCCAGCGTTTGGTCTCCCTCACTTGGCTGCCAATTGATTATTCATTCTTCTTTTATCACCCGAATGAACTGTCATGGATCCTCAAGGCACTGTCCTTGCCAGAAAAGAGAATCTTCAGCAAAGGATATAAGTTCATTGGCAGTCATGATTTGCTTAAATTTGGTAATAGTGGGCTTAACTTCTAAATTTGTGATTTGATATAATCGTATATTGTACCTAATGTAGTTCCAAAAGTGTTTTAGCAAGGAATTGAATTTCTTTTCCATTTTATCTTACAATTTTAAGCAGTTTAAAGTAAATTCTTTGGACATTAATGATTTAGTTTAGTCTGCCTGAAATTGTATGATAAAAACGAACAAAATTGTATAAAAATATTTACTAAGAAAACAGAAACCCTTCCCTCCTTTCTTTGTCATTTCTTTTCCAATTTCGAAAATAAAACCAAACCAAAAATGCTTAAACTCAAAAATGATAAAGTTATACCTAACTCTTATACTTTTTGGTCTGCTAAAACCACTAACAACACTTAAATTAGATGGTGAAAATGCCACAATATGCGTTGACTGTTCTAAGGACGACTATGTTGATTGTAGAATTGGGACTACGGGCTTTGAATGCTTTGTCGATGACATGCTCTACAAGGAAATAAGAAGCACTGATTTAAGTCCTTTCGAAACCTTAGATTTGAAGGTATGCATTCCAGACGATTTAAAGATTGATTGCATTAAAGGTATGCTAATATTTTATTTTCAATAATTTCTATTATTTCTTAAACCTATGGTAGATGAAAAATTCGAAAAAGTCATCGTTTGGTCTCCTGAACTCGGCTGTCAAATAGTGAATAAAAAGGGCCACAAAGAACATACATGTTTCAGTGCCAGTTTGATATGTCCATGCATTAAGGATAAAAAAGGATCTGGAAATGTTCATAAGAACTGTTGGCTTGTGTCTACTATCATAGCCTTAATGCAACTGTATTTTAATTAAAATCTCAGTAGAGGATAATAATAAAATTCATTTTTACTTTCCCTTAACATTACCTTAATAATCCTCCCTCAAAAGTGATGACTTCATCTCTGACAGCCATTTCTAGAACTCCATTTACACCATTTATTTGGTGCCAACCTAATCGACCCAACTCTGGCCCGAGGAACATTTCAAATCATCATCTGACCATGATTGAAAAGTCACCGCCCTGTGTCTGCTCATCCCTGAATTTTCCTACTCCCCTCGCTAAACGCAAACCATTGGCATTGCAAATGCCTTTGGCCCAAGTGTCGTGCCATTTAAATGAGCTTGTCAAGTCGGATTTCAGCACATTAATCACCACGCACATCCAAAAGATATATATAAGATATATATATATATCTATATAAATACAGTGAGGGGAAGTGTGAAAAGGGGACCTGACTCTGGTTAATGGCCAAAGAAAAGGATGGGGCGTGGCAGCTATTAGCACAACGGCGAAAGCTAAACAAATTACTTGTGGACCCAAATGACAGCCAGAAACAATTTCTGGCCACTTTGCCAGCTAAAATCATCGTCTTTTGCGTCTTTATTGGCCATGGGTTTAGCGTCAAGGGGTCGTCGTCATCTTCACTTACCTATCGTACTCGCGGTTATCCTCGTCGCAGCGATTATCCTGCAGCTCCCGCCAACTCTTCCCATGGCGACAGGTGGTGACCAGGACCATGTCGCGTCCGTTGTGCAAATGGAAGAGCGAGTTGCGGGTCTCCGAGCCAATGCCGTGCACGTAGCTGGAAAAATTAAAGGGGAAATTTTGTTCTTATTGGTGAAAGGTTAAAGAGATTTCTGAGTTTAAAGGAATTAGGTAAGTTTTTAGTTTAAGGTATTAGTAAAATCTAACCATGAGGAATCCTAAGATCACATTGAGAAAATGACTCTGCACTAGTAGTTTATTCTTTAAGTTAAATCTCGATTATAATAATTTCTTTAATTTAAAACATCCAAAGAACTTCCCCTTTGAAGAAGAAAGGAAAAACGTAAACTCAAAAGCCAAATCAAAAGCGAACTGATATGTAAATTGAACTTTTATTTGACTTGCTATTGTTTTATAGACGTGTTGATAGTTGCCCCAAGAACTTTGGTTGCCACTATTGTAACCATGCTTTATGGCCGACTATAACAGAGATTGCCCTCGTATTTCCACGATCCCCAGACATTACACCTAAGCTTCGGTTTTATTCGAACGTTTGAAATTGCTGCCTTATATCGCAATCGGGAAATGCTTACACAAACACAAAAGCGAATGTAACTGTGGCAATGGCAGTGGCAGTTGGATTAAACTGCTCCGATTGTTCTTCAGTTGGCATAAACAGCGGCGTCAAAATCAATTGCAATAAACCAACCGCATGAAGGGGCAGTGGCAGTGGCACTGGCAGGGGCAGTGACGGGGGTAAGGGTAAGGGATACACAGGACGATGGGTTGATTCCCGCTTAGATACGGCCAGAAATCTGAGCTGACCGTCAGCAGAGCAGCAATTGAAACAAAAGATGAACATTGCGACAGCTACACTAACAATGAAAGGCTCTCCTCTACACACACACACACACACACAGACATACTCGTATAAAACTCGCACACGCACAACCACAAATAGGAGGGCACCCACACAAACAGACTCGCCAACGAACGGTAAACGTTTTCAAGTGTATGGCTAAGCAAAATGGCAGTAGCAGCTATACACTGAGAAAAACTAAGGCTAAACATATAAAAACTTTAACTTAAATATTAATTTTTTTAATTTTCTTTTTTTTTTTAAATGCATAAAAAGTAAGGGTTAAACATCAACTTTAATTTTTTCTATAATTTATTAAAATTTTTAATTTTTAAAATTTTTAATTTTTTTATAATTTTTTTTAAGAAAAAAACATTTAATATTTTAACAAAAAAAACACTTATATTTTTTTTATAATTTTTTTAATAGAAGAAAACATTTTTTATTTTAATAAAAACTTTCTTGCAAATTTACTCCATAAAAAAATCTTTTTCATTTTTTTATAATTTTTTTTAATAGAGAAAATATTTTAGTATCCTAAAAATAACTTTCTAGCAAGTTTAATTCATAAAAAATATAATATTAAATGGCTAAAATTTCTTATTTCTTAGAAAGTTAACACCTATTTTTCTCAGTGCTTCAAGGAAGCTTTCGCATCAGCAGTCGAGCAGAAAAGAAGAAAGGGAGAAGCTTCTGGAGGAGCAGAAAAAAGAAACGAATAGAATCCAGTGAGCAGGATAAGGCTCTGCGGCTGTGTGTGTATGTGTGTATGTGTGTATCTGTGTATGTGTGTGTATGTGTGTGTGTATGTGCAATTTCCTTCTGCTTGGCTTGCAGTTGAGCAAATTTCATACACAATGAGCCACGGCAGTTGCTCCACTTCACCTCTGCACCAACGAACTATCATCCATACAGCCAAAAAAAAAAGAAAAAATTAAAAAACAGAAAAAAAAAGATAGAAAAAAACTAAACCAAGCCAAACCAAAACCAAACTCGGCCAGCACAGCAGATTGGGCAGCGCTGATTTCCGTTGTCCGACAACTGGGAGTATACTTACTCCTTGCAAAAAAAGCCAAGGAACGTCTGCTTTGGTTCCTGTTATCCAAGGACGAAAGGAGGACACGGGGGCCAAGGAGGCAAAGCGGCAGCTAAGCCATAAGTTATTTGATTTAATCAGCGTGTCGTTGCCGCTGGCGAATTCTGAGGTTACGGCTCCAGAATCGAAATGAAACCAAAATGTGTGCGTATTCAATGGACAGGGAAAACCAAAGAGCTATCACAATAAAAGTAAGCAAAAAAAAAAACAAGGAAGACAAACTGGGTCATTTCGGTTGGAATAGATTTATTTGTTTAAGCATATTGATAAAATTTTATTTTCATTTCATAAACAAAAATGTTTCAGAATTAAAAAAAGGAATTTAATATGAGTCAAACGAAGTGATTCATCAATTAAGATTAAAGGAAGTTTCTAAACTAAACTATTTAGTTTGTAATTCCCACTAAATAACTTTGATTACGCATCATTTAAAATATTTAAAAATCCATTAAAATTCCTTCATTGTAATAAAGTCAATTACTCTAAATAATCCCACAAAGAAACGCTTATTCCTGGGAAAATAAAAAGAGGGAAAATCTTTTCAAATTCCATCAATTCATTTGGAAATCAAATTGAAAACCAATTTGCCGCCATGGGACACGCTAATGATACGAATAAATTGATACAACAATTTATTTGTCAATTTATTTCCATAACAAATTTGATTGAATATGACAGCCATGGCAAAGGCAACAACAACCCATCAGTAATAGCCATGCAAGTGAAGGCCCACCAAAAACAAAAAAAAAATTGTGGCAAGGGACGAGGATTTTATGGGGCATCAGGGATTCTGCAGATTCTCGCTTTTTGTCGTGCGTCCTGTAAATTAATTTAGGACTCTGCCAGATGTACAAAGCCCAGAAACAGAGAGAGAGAGAGAGATGGCGGCCACATTAATATAAATTAAGTACATGGCCCAGCAAAAGCGTCTAAAAAAGAATGCTTTCAGCGCCCATTACGATCCGGCTATGGCCTGTTCTAATCTAATTTATGCCCTAAATGGCTCACTGGCCTGGAGTTTCGAATATATATCTGGAGGTGAAAAAGGTTCAACCGAGAATTTAAAGGAGACATTACCGTAGGTTAAATTTGTGAAATTTCAAGAAGTATTTAACTTCCAACTTCAGTAGTAAATAAACTCTCTGAAAACAATTCTTAGAACTACTTTTTGCCTTGCGAAATATTTCATTAAATGGATCTTCCTTAGAAGCAAGCCAAAACCTGAAACAACCTTTAACATTAACACTTAAAAAAGTCGAAAAACTATAAAGATAAATAATTTAATAGCAAAAGCATTTCACTAAGAGATACCCTTGAAAAAATGGCATATTTTACATATGGCTTAAACGACAATTACTCCGTCTAAAAAAAAATGTATATAGCATATTGACTTATGGTTTAACTTTAATCTGACGCTCTTTATTCGCAGCAATTGATAAAATGGTTTTCACCGGGGAAAAAACTACCCATTCATAGCAAAAGAATGCCATGAAATGGGTCAATTAAATATTGATTGGGTTTGGGCTGCAGGCCACAGCCAAAAAAAAAAAAAAAAGAGACAAAAAAACAACAAAAAGAAAAGCCGGCCGGGAAAGCAAAGGAACCAAAAGCCATTCGGAGGGCTGTCATCGCCAGTGCGGCTCCAATGACAATAAAGTGCAATAACCAGACGGAGGGACCATTGAACCGGGTCGTTGTATAGTGGAGGAGTCCCTTCTCCTGACCACCACTAATCCAAACATAATCTAAAATAATTGAGTATGCCCAGGACGCGAAGCTTTTTTCGTCCAACACCTACCACCTACCACCCACTCAAACCCCCTGTCCACTCTGAATAATTTATGCGCGCATTAAATAAGCTTAAAATGTGTGTGCGCGCGTCTGCTTTTTTTCTTTTAGTGTGCGAATAGAATAGAGAATGGCGGGGTATCTCTGGATATCTCTACGTCCCGCGGCCATTGTCTGCCACACTTCGGCTTACATGGGTTAATGCCTGGAACGGGAACGAAACGACCCTTGTGCATTGCCAAGAGGCTATGGCTTATGACATAAGTTTATGTATCAGCCTCCACCTTACTGCCCCTGCCTCTGCTCTTGCCGCCACTGTAGAGTTGTCGCCTTCGCGGCCAAATCGCCTGGGGTTATGCAGCATTTGCTCCAACCGAAGCTTATCTATGCAACTTCAAAGCTTTTGTGATGGCCCAGTACCAGTCACATTCACATGCTAGCTCACAAACCATGGACGTTGAGCTAAGAAAACGTGGCGTATGCGCAATATCTCCAGCTTCTTCTCCTTTTGTGATTCGAGCATAAAATGGTGTCGCAAAACTGCAACGAAACCAGACTACCACCAGCACTAGCACAAGCTGCAAAAAAATGAAAATAAAAGAAGAAAAAATCCGGAACAACAGAAGCGCTCCTGGCTTTAAATCAGTGCCAGCAACAACAACAACAACAGCAACAAGGACATACTGCTGAGACTCCAGAAAAATGCGGAAAATAAAGAACGTAAAGGTTAAAGGGACATCGACCAGCGGACGTCAGGTAAATGCATTTTTACTCTGGCAAAATAAACGTAAATATAATTTTAAGTGCAGCAAAAACAGAAACAACAACAACAACAGCATCAATATCAACAAATTGGTTTTTACAAGAAAAATAAAATCAGAAAATGGGAAGTAAATGAAATAAATTTATATTTTTTAAGGCAAATGTGGTGGGCTTTATATGGAAATGAGAATGATTTCAAGAAAATATGAAACTTAAGTGATTTCCCTTTTAATTTCCCTTTAAGATAAACAATTTTTTAAAACTTTTCTTTATATTTCAAATCCTACATTGACTTTTCCTGTCCCATTTTTCCCAACCAGCCCTTCTCTGCAGTAAACTGCATGCACGTCAGCTTTTCTGGTGTCATCTGTAAATCTGTCCACGCCCCCTTTAGCCTCTTTTTGTCCAGTATTGGGATGTCTAATGTAAGCGACCATCGATCCGTATCAATCAGGGTCCGATTCTCCCATCGTCCTGTTTCCAAAGTCCTCGTCAAAGTTATTGCAGTCGGGCAGGCCAGGCTTTTGTTATCCTTCAAGCTTCTGGTTTCTGGGTTCCTCCGCCCCCCTCAAAAAGAGTGTCTATCCTAAGACCCGAAATGCGAATGTTATCAACGTTTTAGATACAAGCCAAAGAGGACGACATGGAAAAATCTGTGGCATGGAGACGCAATTCGAGCTCATACAATTTGCAGTTAGCTTTCGCCTTATGCTTGGCCAACTGATACAGGATACGCAGGCAGTGCCAGCCAGCTTTTGCCTTCACAAACTCATATTCCCCTCAGGCAATCGTCTAAAGTGTGAGAAATAAGTTTGAAATTGACTTGGGATTGGGATTTTATTATTATTTTTTATATTTGCTGAATGAATAAGTCAATTTAAGGAGAAAATAAAGACGTACTGAACTTTAAACATTTTTTCAAGGGAGAGAAAACTCTTCCAAAATGTTTTTAAATTTATTTCTAACTTTATTTGACCAATACCTAACATCGCCTTACTTAATTTACCTTAATAAAGTCACATTTAATATTTCTATTCAACTCAAAGCCCAAAACATTTCCTCTCAGTGTCCATGTGTGCCAGTTCATTGTTGTTGCGGCCTGTTTGGTTTTATTGTGTTTATATTTGGCTTAGGGCATCAATTTGCTTTTATGCAAGGACGACTACAGCGACAAGGAGTTCAGGACTCCGGCTGTAAGCTGGCATTATCAGTAAAGTCAGGCTAGGCACCAATAACACAAATATGTCTATATATATAGCGAAGAAAGTACACAAATGTACATGCATGTAGAATATTCTGGTGGAACAAGGGCATGGGGCAAGGGGCATATTGCATTAGCTGCTTTGCTGCAACAATGTTGCATCGATTACATAATCCATTTACACAAATGGCATTTTAAATACATTATTGACTGAAGCGTATAGAGCGCAGCGCGTTTTGAACAAGGCTTCAGCTTTAGCTCGCTCAACGTTGCGTATGCGTAATGTGCCAGCAATCAAAGAGCTGAGCAAACTCAATTGATGTGCATGGGCGATATAAAGATATATCCATACATACATATTAATGCCTCTCCCCAACCCCTTTTGATCTATTTAACAGATGTTTAATTAGTTCACAAATGCAATTATTGCAACCTGATAAGTCCATAAAGGGCAAGCCAAAGCGGTTTAAAATGGCTTAAGGTATTGGCTTACATCTACTGAAGGCTGATATTATAATAACCAATCGTGTTAGAGCACAGATAGCACATCGTTTAATTAAACATTCTTGAATTCTATTGATATGTCCTAAGCTGATTAATTAGTTTTAGATTTTAACAGGCGTTTTTGGTGATGATTGAATGAGAAATGTAATTATTGAGGGTTTAAGCTTAGTTTTAACTTAATATTTTACATTATTTTCCATTACTATATATTTAAATTACAAATACATTCCTGATCCCTGTAGAAACTTCAATAATTCCCACTTGATAAAAAAAAAAAAAACACAACAACGAGATTTCATTAAACATTTTTGCAGTTGACACACGTCTCTTGATAATGAGGCATTTGACTTTGAAGTGGCGCCACCTGCCGCAGAAATATTTACGTTCGAGTGGAGAGCACTTTGATCAAACAGAGAATATATATATATATAATATATATCTCAACAAACATCAACAGCACAGCCATTGGTCATCATTATAATGATGATGATAATGATGGGTAGAAAAGTGCACACACGCCACAAAGTCATTTACCGAACCAAATCGTTTGGCACGTTTCGGTCCACAGATGGCGTATTGATGATGATTATGTATGTATATATATACATACATATAAATCGCATGAGAACGATGATGAGGATGCAATATGTTGTAAGGCAATGCCTGGGCATCGATAAATTGAAGTGCCGGCAACAAAGGAGAAACTGAAAAACGCTCATTAATAAATATTAAGTCATAATTAAACAGTTGCAATGGTGCCTGGTGCAAATCGAGGCTCTTGATGAAATTTAAGAAATATTTAAAACTTTATTCACGCCACCCGGTAGGCAGCTGCAAAATCCAAACGAAATCAAGCAGCAAGAAAATGCACACGGAAACTGAAAAGCCAAAAAGAAAAGCGGAGAGTAGAAGCCAACAAAAAAAAAAAACAAAACAAAACAAGGTAAAATAAAGGAAGGAAAACTAAGCAAGCAGCCAGACAAAACCGCAGGCACTAAAGATAACAAAAAGTAATGGAACTAATTGCTCGACGAAAGGCGGCCAGCCTATCAGTCAACAGCCCATTGTTCCACACGAAAGTGAAAATGCCAATGCCAAGCTCAAAGCCAACTAGCTGGTAATAATAATTGGAGCAACTGCAACTTGCAACCTGCAACTAAGCATTTGCACTTGCAACTAACAGCACTTGCAACAACTAGTATATAAAAGCAAGTGCTTGACGCGCAGCCGCCGACAGTTGAAATTCGCCAGTAGCCGCGAAACGAGCTCGTAATTCGAAAATCTGCATTCATCAATTGCTGAAATATTCAAATTCATATATCGAGGCGGTGGGAATATTCAAGTTTGTTGGCCAACATGAGGAAGCATTGCGTAAGTTAAGCCAGAAATGGATTACCAAGGAAGTGTAACACATCAGCTAATTGACACTGTCAACCGATTTGCATCCGGTTCGATTTTTGGATTACTTCAACTCTTTCATAGATCAATTTGATTTGGCTGCTGTTGGTGCTTAAGCTGACTTTGATCAGAGGTGAACAGCAGGCAGAAGACACACACAGGTGAGTGGATTCTATATAACAAAGATCATGAATAGACTTTAAAGTTTATGAAGGGATATACCATAAAATCTTCTCAAAAAGAAATAAGTTTGAGTTCAAACATGAAAGTAATAGTTACAAATGTATACAAGCTGAAACCACAGCTCACAGTTTAACACCCTTTCAAGTTTATTAACTCATTAAAAGTATCTCTCACAAACCCCAAAATCCTTTCTCACACACTTAATAATTGTCATTAAATAACTATAAAACGAATCCAAAAACAATTCGCAACTTTTACTTTTACTTTGCCCGCAGAATTCAGCGGCGTTTCATGTGGCAAGAGATGAATAACTCCGTGATGGGCGGCGTGCTGGGACGAATGTTCAACGGAGCCAGGGCCATGAAGACCATGTTCACGGATCTAATACCCAGCACGGCGGGATATAATCAAAAAGCAGCCATGGACTTCCTACCCACAGAGATGACGCGAGTGAAGTACATCATTCGGAATCCCCACAATAACAAGCCCATGAAGATCATCAAGATGCGACCTTCGCCAAAGAAGGTGATCAAACTAAGGAGACCCCTGCCAAAGCCCACCATCACCGAATCCACTGTGATGATTTCCCATGTGGGCCATGGTGATCATCGAATGAGACAGCTGGAAAAGGAGCAGGAACTCATAGCCGAGGGCAAAGCACCCATGACCAGTGATGAGGCCATAATGGAGAAGTACTTCAAGAAGCGACCTCGTGGCGGCTCCTCCAACGAAGTGGTCTCTGGCAAGATCATGGAGTACCAAAGCTGGAAACCTGTCTACAAGGCGGGTGAAATGCCCTCGACTTTTGTGACCCTGCGACCACAAGCTCTAACCCATCTGCACACGGATATATCCAGTGGAGATCATGAAATGTTGCCAAAACCCGAGAAGCTGGTGAGCTACGAATATGAAAGGGAAGAGGATGAGGAGGCCGAGAACGAGGTGGCCAAGCAAATGGGTCATCGGTACGAGGTCACCGAACATACAGGAGAAGCCACTGGTGAAATGGAAACCGTAGAGGCAGTGGCCTCAATGGAAAGTGGTTTTGTGCCCAGTCAGGGAATGACTTTCAGATCTCAGCCACCATCAACACCACATCATAGTCCAAAGCCCAGACATCGCAGTCCTTCCAGTACTACAACTTCCACCACTACGACCGAGGCACCTAACTATCCCCCCGCTTTTCTAAAGAAATATCGAGAACGTGAGGCCACCACCACGCGAAGACCTCGTAAATACCACAATAAGGAAGTCTATCTGATCCGTGAGGGCGAGGATGGCTCGGAAGGCAGTACCACGCCGCCATCCTTTGCGATGAGCAGTTTGAGGGCTCGCCTTCAGGATCAACAGCGTCACCAGAAACAGCAACACAAACAACAGCTCGAAGACGAGGAGATGGAGGCCGCACTCGTCGATGCCATGCACGGTGAGAAATGGCCATCGGAGGTGGCCCACAGCGGATTCCAACTGGCCAGTCCCATTGGGCCAAGTGCCGTGGCCTTCGAGCAACCCCTGGCCAAGGCGCCAAGGGGACAATATAAGCGCCAGACTCGCGATAATATCCGGCAACGTGGATCCATCAAGTTTGGCGATAAACCCAACTACGATGAAGCCTGAGCAGTCTGAAGGCGGTTCACCAGTTAGCAACCAAAGAGCCAAAAGCTGCCGTTAAGCTACACGTTGAGAAAAAATATTTACAAAAAAATCGGTTGATTTTTAACGAGAAATGCCTGTGACTTGTGTGAAACTATCAACAACTTTTGGCTTTTATTTAATTTAACATAAAAAATTTAACAAAAACAAAAACGTTTTATTCAGTACAAAAATGTACAAGTCAAAATTGTAACAAAGTTTTTATTTAAAAAGTAGTTTAGGAAAACCCAATTTGTTACAAGGGAATTTACAAAATAAACTAGGAAAACTTAATTTAAAATTAAAAAATATATTTTATTCTTTTCAAGTGACTTTGGTTGGTTCTGCTAAATCTAGCAAAAAGGAATAATTTAAGCTAAGTGTAGATTTTATGATTTCCCGCCGTGTCGACTTAACAGTTAACCACATTTGAACTTTCTTTAATTGGCTTATCTAAGATTTGAGTTTATAGTTTTTTTTTTTTGCCAAGTAAAAGTCCGCTTAAAACAACGATTTCCCATTGGATTGCATTTCATTTGCTAGTCGGAGTCAATGCACTCCTGGCACGCAATAATATGCAGCATGCCGCAACGGACATAAAACTCTGGAAATATTTTTGACTTTTAATTAATGCCAGTTAGCGATTTTCCCTTGGATAATTGTAGATATCTCTGTGTGTGTGTGTGTGTTATCGCATTCCGCTTAGCAGCTTGCATTTGACAACTAATTTAAAAAGTTTACATGGCCGACAGCCTTGGGCACTGAAATCGAGAGCATTGCGGCGAAGTGGGTTAAACCTGCTATAAATTCCAGAACAAAAGCCATAAGACACACTGGGCGACAGAGAGGCGCAGGGATAGAATATAAAAAGGAAAGAGAGATAGACAGAGAGGGGAGAGAACAAAGAAAAGCGCATTTCCACTTTGAGTGCGGTTTTTAATCAACTAAAGCAGCGCCGCCAACAACAAACTGCAACTGAATTAAAACAAAAAAAAAAAAGAAAGAAAAGAAAGAAAAAAAAGAAGAAAAACTCAGAATGCCCACTAAAACCCAAGGAAAGGGAAAATGTGGAATGGAAGGCAAAGGGAAAACGCGATAAACTTTAAATGAAACGACATGTCGGCTTAACTGGCAAGGGGAGAAAAGTGCAGGGAAAAGGCCGGAAAACTCGGGAGCCTAAAGATTGGAATTGCCGATAGCCAACAATGCAATGAAAATAAGATAAGGAAATTCTAGATTACAGAAAAGGCGACCAGCGAAAAACAAAGTGGAAAGGGCATGATCTCAGTTGAATTTACAGCGTTATTTATATTGCCAGAGATTTACGTTTTAAGAAAAAGCTTTTCCTTTAAATAAGTTTACAAAAATTGAAAAAACAAGCTAAGGAAGGAACCTTATTTCTATATAAAGTGGAATACAAATTTCTAGCAAAAAGAAACCAAAATTTAAAACAAATTTGAATATCAAGCAAACCAAAAATTAATCTTTCAGAAGTCATAAAAATTATTTTTCCCGAGAAAACCCCTAACTAAACGAACTTTTCTTCTTTATTTAGCACTTTTTCTTTTGAGAAAAACTTTCTCAAACTTTCGTTTATCAAGAAATTAGATGTTTTATGGACTTTCAATAATTGCAAAAGATTTTTTCTGCAGAATAAAATTTTCTCTCTCATCCAAAAATTCTATGAAAAATCTGCAGGAAATTCAAATTTGCCAGCCAAAAGTTCGAATCTAGATGAACTCACCTGAGCAGAGCAGGTGAGAAGCTAACAATAACAAATTGTATGTTTGCGGGCCACGCCCTCAGCCGAAAAGTCTCACCTACGCCCACGAAAACAGCAAACGAAAGTTGGCAACTTGAATTTGCTTTTTTTCAAGGACATTATTGGGACCTGACTTTAGTCTTCTTTTTTTGCATATTTTTAGGATGGCGGTTCGAAGTCCGGGGGCCCACGTCGACCTAGTACACCTGTCCACTGGCAGGAAACGTGTCCTCTGCCACCCCTTAGAACGCCAACTGTCCTCTGGCACGCCCCCTAATCCCGCCCTGAAGGCTGTCCCACTGTCGAGTGCAGCAAATACAAATTAGAATTTAAATGAACAATGCAACCAGAGCGGAAGTTTCTGCGAGTGTGAGTGGATTTCTATATAGGTGTTTGGGTATTAGTGGGCGTAAGCTAGATACAGAGAGAGAAATTATAACAAATTTGTGTTTATTTCAATTGGTTAACTTAATGAAGTCTTTAAAACAAGCAAAGTTAACTAAAATCCTCTTCATTTTAAACATAATTATGACTTTTAAGATTCTCCTTCTATTTTCTCTCAGTGTAACTGAGTATGGTATATGTATGAGGTCGACATTATGGGTGACATTGCACGTAGAGCGCGTGGGCCAGCAACATCAACAACAACAACAATAACAACAACTCCTGGCAATGGCCATAATGTCATACAGTTTGGCGCGTACTTTTTTGCCACTTTCACCTCCCCCTCTTCTGCTACTCCTACCGCCACACCGTCTCCCCACGAAGCTTCTGGCCCATCTTCAACGTGCTCTTTCGGTGTATTTTGTGCAAAATAAGAGAAGGAAAAAAGTTTCGAGATTTTTGCACTGAAGGCGATGTCAAACTGGGTCGCTTCAACTCAACGGCGAAATGTCAAACGGATTAATGGAATTTCCCCACGAAACATTTTTCCGAAAAATTCAGCCAATGGTAAAATGAAGAAAGAAGGAAATTGAAAATGATCATTGGTATAAATTAAGTTCGAAATATTAAGTCAATGGGTTATGTCAAAGACTTTGATGGAATTTTAACTGGAAAGAAAGTTCATAGGAAAATGATTAAAATTAAAATAATTAAAAATAAATAAAATTTAGGTTATATTTTTTTTTTTATTAGGACAAAGTCTTAAAACTTATAATAAAATCATAAAAAGTCTCTTTCTCTTATAAGAAATGGTAAACCGATTTATTTTGTATTTTACTTTAAGAAAATAATGAATTAAGATTTTAAAAAATCATTTTTTATTTACTATTACCCTTAAGTTAAATAAAATAGAAGCCGCTTTTTAAATAATATAAAAAAAATATATTTTATACAATTTTTTTAATAATTACCAAAAAGACCAGCTTACGTTTTCGATACTCCCCAACTCTATGTTTAACCCATTGTTACCCTCATTTAAAAGTGAACGAATGGCAAACAGAACGCAAATCGATTACGCAAGGCGACTACGAACGACAATCCTTTTGGCCATGTTCTTTTTGAAAACTGAATTGTGCGGGGGAGAGGGAGTGGAAGAAAGAGAGAGAGACCAAGCCGACCAAGTCAATTAAATATTGAAAGAACGTTTAAATTGTTGCGCTGGCTGGTTAACTGGCGAAACGGTTAAACATGAGCTGGCTGCATTCGCTGCTCGTTCATTAATTTGCCTGGCACCTTCTGGCGACCTACTGCTGTCAAAGTTGAATTTATTAAAGCGAAAATTCTTTTAATTAAAAACGTGACAGGTGAGAAATGGTCAGGTTTTCTCTCTCTGTGTGGTACATCAAACTGAATCGTGTCGAAATTATATTAATTATGAATTTGAACAATTCGGCTAAAGCCAATTTCGGGCATTGTGTCCTCAAAGCGAGCATTGAACTCGCAATCAACGAAGCCAGCGGAAATATAGCACGAGCTGCTGATTCATTTGCCGTTGAAAATATTTTGTTTGCTCTACGAAAACCAACTCCCTCTCGAAAATTCACACGGTGAAATAAAGAGGGTGGCTCGAAGGCTGATGGAAAAGCTGACGGGTAACAACGATAGCTCTACAGCATCGTTTAGCGTCAGTTTGCGAAGTGCGAAATGTTCCCAGCTTGCTAAAAAAATTAAATATTCAAATATAGCTGTTGCCACAGCTCACACAGGAAGAACCCAAAACCTGGGTGGAAAAAGGCAAAAAGGTTTGGGGGGCTTGCAAAAGGAGTGGTGGGATGAAAATGGGAGCCGTTTAGTTTTGGGATCCAGAGCTCTCGAACTAAAGAGGGACACGAGCAGTTGCACACATTCATATGCATATGGTGGAGGCGACCAAAGTGTCCCTGTTGATTTGGGTTTGGATTTCCAAAAAGGAAGTCGGAACTATTTTTCTGCAGCTTATACGGCTGTATTTTTGAATACATTTTAGGAATAAGATTGCATTGTAGTAAATTATTCGTTTTCTTTCGTATTAAATTAAAGTTTAAGTTTCTGAATTTAAGCCTTTCTACTCCAGTTTCTAAGAAAACTATAAGTAATAGCTTCCTTTTTTTATATTTTTATTATTTATTTTTATATTTTGTATTTATTTTTTATTTTTGAAAATAAAAATATAGTCAGCTTATGCGGTTTTGATAATGCATTTTTAAGTTCATCATAATCACTAAATTTATCTCAACTATGAAACCGCTGGGTTAAATAAATATTTAAATGCTGAGCTTAGCTTCCAAAAAAAAATTATAATAAAATCTTTTCCGACAAAAACTTGAATTGAAATTCTTCTTTCTTTCTTTGGAATTTAATTATTAAAAAAATTTTAGCATGGATATTTATCTATTCGACTCAACAAAATAACCTTACTGAAAGATTGTTTAAATTCTTAAAAAAAACTGATTTTAGTGGAATACATTTAACATTTCAACATTATTGTCATTCTTATAATATTTTATGAAATGACTTTATCAGCATTATTCACATGTTTTCCAAATTAAATACAGCACAGGCTGTCTTTACATTAGGAATTCTGGATAACCCAAAACAAGCGCAAATTTATGCTTTTTTGATAACTCCGTCAAATTATTAGTCATCTTTTTATAAATATTACAGTCTCGGGAGAGTTGTACAATATAAGTCGTCTCAGTCTTTTAAGAACCAGCGTCGGGAACTAACTATATAACAGCTTTCGGGTGCTTAAATCCTAACTATTTGTGAATCCTAATTGTGAATATACATATACTTACATATAATAATAAATACATAAATATGTTTATGTATATATATATATATTTATGTATATATTAGGTTGTCAAAAAAGTCTTGCGGTATTTTCGCTAGTTGGTGTAGTTCTTGTTCTATTCGTCGCATCAGGCGATACTATACCTTTTTGGAAAGCTCATTTCACGCGCTAACACGTGTTTGATTGATTGTTCTTTTCTTTTAAATCGTTCGTGAGTTATAGCGTCGCAATCATGGAGCAAAATAAAGAGAAAATACGGCATATTTTACAGTACTACTACGATAAAGGCAAAAATGCATCTCAAACCGCCAACAGTTTCCGATACAGTTTGCATATCCAAGGCACAACGATGGCATCAACGTTTTCGTTCTGAGAGGTAGAGGTGGTCGAAGATGCGCCACGCTCCGAGTTTTTTGCCAATAGGGAAGCGAGCTTCTATGAGAGGGGCATTATGAAGTTGGCATCTCGTTGGGAACGCGTCATCGAACAAAACAGCGCATATTTGACTTGAATCGCATTAATGTAACCAATTTTATACCGCAAGACTTCTTTGACAACCTAATATATATACATAAATATATATACCTAATTAATTTATATATATTTACATATCCTTTATGTGATTAACATATCCTTTATTCTTATTAAATATAAAAACAATATTCCCATTAAAATGTATACTACTGAATCACGGTTCAAAATTAAATTCGGAAATTAGGCAACGCCTATCTTACGTGTCACTTTGGATTACACGAAAAGCATAACTTTTATTAAAGTATATATAGTTTTTTATCAGTTCAAAACATTACTGTGCAAAGTGAGATAACCACAATAATAAATCACCAAAAAATTGATGTGTAAAGTGCCAGGATTTTCAAAAACAAAGGCTAACATATTCGGATATACCACGATTTTCCTTTATTCTTTTTCTCTTTCTAACACCAAAAAATTCAAATTTCTCCCACCAATTTTAGATATTTTCACGACAAAAATGCTTATAAATCTGGGAACGTTAATCCCGATACTTTCGCTGTTGGTAAAAATATCGCTTGCAGAAATACCCAATTGCGATATCTTCGACACTGTAGACATAACTTACAGCAAAAGGCTTAATAATGGATCATATATGTATAAAGACATAAACATTCCTGCCGATTTGACTGGAGAATACGACACTATACCAGGATCAATGGAAAAGGTTCCTCACCACTTAAGAGGATGTATCTGCGATATAGTATTCTGTGTCAGGTTTTGCTGTCCGTCTAATCAAATAATGAAAGATGGAAAGTGCTTTGATTACCTTACGAAGGAGGCAGAGGCAGACAGGTTTTATGATGCCCTAAAAGAGATCATCAACGACACATCGGAGGTCGGAATTATCGCTCAACACATCCCCTTGCCCTGTAAGCCCAAGAATGTTTACGTCGTAAATGATCAATTGGAAAAGGAAAAGTATTCACTCTTTAGGGTAAATAATAGTAAATATATACAAACTTTAACTAGTTTAAATGGTATATCCCCTCCTTAGAATGGAACCCTTGGACTTGACTATTACAAAGTAAACTACGAGAAGCCGGAAATCTGCATGCAAAACCAAATGTTCCCAGACGGCAGCATACGAATGGCACCTCATGTGTGCTTGGAAGATAGTCCTCTTGATGTGGGAAAGATCACTTGTGAGTTATATAGACAAGGATAAAGCTAACCCGACTTAACGCTTTCCATATTTTACATAGTAATTATGATATCGATGATATGCCTGCTTCTTACCATCGCTGTGTATTTGTACGTTAAGAAACTACGAACTTCGCATGGAAAGTGCTTCATCTGCTACATGACCTGCCTCTTTTTGGGATTCCTGATTCTGTTGCTTGACTATTTTAAATTGGCACAAGGCTTTTGTAAGACAGCAGGTTAGCTAACTATTAACTAAGGTATTAACTAGTAAAACAAATTAATACAAAGAATCCCCATAGGCTTCCTTGGTTACTTCTTTGTGATGTCCACCTTCTTCTGGCTTTCCATCATCAGTCTGCATCTTCGAAATAAACTCTGCGGTCCCTCTTCGTTGGATCGCTTCCGGACCTTAAGCGTTTATGCCTGGAGCATGGCGTTGCTCTTGACTGGTATAACCTATGTGGCCAATGAGAATGTAGAGAACCCAAATTGGAATCCTCATGTGGGCAGCAACAACCAATGTTGGATCAAAAGTGTGTTCTTAATCTATATTTTAACCAATGATGAAGGATTATGAAACTTCTGTAACCCACAGCCCATGACTGGAGTGCCATGATCTATCTCTATGGACCGATACTATGTGTAGTTGTCTTTAACATATCTATGTTCGTTTCCACAACTAGTCATATAATGCAGGTTGAAAGTAATTATGCTCTCAAGCTGAAAATGAAGAAGCAACTTATCATGATAAAGCAGACGTAAGTTATAAATAATATTTACATAAATATAATCATAATTCATAATTTCTTATTAAAGCTTTGCCCTTCTGTCACGACTCTTTGTCATAATGGGCATTTCTTGGAGCTTTGACATAATCTCCTACCTTGTCCAGAACAATAAGACTTGGGCCAGCATCTTCTTAGTGGCTGACTATATTAATTGCTCCCAGGGTATTATCATATTTGGGCTGTTTATTCTTAAGGGCACTACGCTTAAGCTCTTGAAGGAGAGGTATGTTTCTTTGAAAATTAAATCCTAAATAAGCTATATTTTTGATTATTTTTGAAAAGATATACTGGTGTCAATGATGAAACGCAGGTCGATGACTGCGGCATTCCGCATGAGGATATGAAATCTTACCGACGCATGGCATAAAACTAAAAGCAAAGTATGAACGGGGAAGACCTCTACTTAAGTCTATAAAAACTTAAATATTAGGTGAGCGTAAAAATATATTTATGATATTAAAAAAAGGTTTCAAAATTTTGTCATCTTTTTTCAGCTTTTTGACCAATTTTAAAAGGTTTACCACTAAAATGCTGACTAAAATGTCTTGTTTATGAATTAAGATTACAGATTTGTAACCTCTCTTCACCTCCACTTCAACTATAAGTAAAGAATAAGTAAAGATCTTTGTAAAAATGATCGACCATGGAAAATACCAGTAAAATTTTCCCATAAAGATATTGTGTCGTAAACACAGATTGCAGTACCTAAATTTTCCCTTACGAAAAGTTGAAAACAAAAAAGTCTTCTTACCAGACTTTAGACCTAAAGAATTCATTTAGGCTAGACTTAACCCGTAAACTTTCCACAGTCGATCAAGGCCATAAGATCCTGTTAAGGACATTTAAAAGATAGTAACTTTTGCATTCAAGAGAAATGAACTTGAATACAAGAGATAAACTTTAAGTTGAGAGTAAGAAAGTTCTCTTCAAGAACCTATGAGCAAATAAAAGCTTATAGGCGAGGTTTCATCACAGATGAAAGTTAGTTCAGTTTAAGACTTATTTCTTGAATGTTATAAAGTCGGTGAATTCACCTAATATTAGAATCGTGTTAATTAAATGATTAATAAATAAAAACATAATTTTTTTATGAAATCGTTGCAGGAATAATATAATTAAATATATTTAGAACTTCCATAATAATATTTAAAAATATTTTAAGAAGCTTTTTCCTTTTCTTAACTCAAAATTAATTAATTTTAAATCAAAAAGCAAATGACAATTTTGTCGGCTGGCAATCATGTGTTACGTAGCTAGTACAGCTTCAGTTCCAGCTTGGGCTACCAGCTACCAAATGTAGCTGCAGTGCATCAGCAGTTTCTGGGTTCTGGAGCTCGAGTTTATGGCTAAAACTAGCGCAGTTAAAAGCCCAGCGGGCTAGTGCCAGCAGAATGAAGATGTGTGGGTGTTGCCAAGTTTATGCGGGGTATAGGGTGTAGTGGGTGGTTTGCATATACATATGTGTATGTTGGCCGTTGAAGTGTAATCAACAGCACGGCGGCAATTACGGCAGACACTTGGATGTGTGTGTGTGTGTGTGTAGGAGAGAGTCCTGGCTGCAAAAACTCTCGTCCTTACTACACCCCATCCACGTAGGCATAAAAGTTGGCGGCGGGTGGATAACGCAGCTAGCACAATTTGCCAAACTGCACTGAGCGGATTTAGCGCAAACTGCAGGGGAAAATGTGGATAAACCACTCACATCAGTGCATTCCCTTCGTCTTTTCCCCTTCTGGGAATTTCAGCCTGGGCCTGGTAGTGGAGCATCAGCATCTCGTTTAACGTGTGCGCGCATTATAATTTTAATGCATATTACATTTCACGTCACGAATTGAATTTCTAGTTCGCAAAACTTAAAAAAAAAAATGGAAATAATAAAACACCACCCAGCTGTGCCTGTTCTTTGCCCTCACGGAAATGGATCCATCAGGTGGAAATATCAAGGATGGAGTCCATGAATTCATGGCAAACTTTTAATATTCCGATTGGTTGGGGAGTTCGAGTGACTATTGGCTCATTTAAGCCACGATGGAGGTGAGCTATTAACTAAACGATGAAATATTTTGTAGAGAACTAGTAGCCTTAAGTGTAAGTTTGGTTTTTGGTTTGTTCTAGGATTTAGTCGTGGTATTTAACTAGTAATATCAGAGAAAGTATGTAATGTGTGTTAATATGATGATTTTCTGAAACTCAAATTACTCATTTTAAGCTTATATTTTCTTAATCTGAAAGTCTTTGATATAGATCTTAGTTTAAAGTTTCCTTTAAATTTATCGTTTAAGCTCACAAAAAACTGGAAATTAAACTTTCAGTCACGCAATGGCCAAAATCTTGAAGTTCTCTACTCATTTTGCCATTGCAGAATCGATTCACCTTTCTCTCCTTATACGCTAGCATTGATTTTAATAGCCTAGAAGTGCGGGGTGGGGGAAAAGGAGTTCATCCAGCGATACCGATTGGCTGGCTGCTCATATCGATAACCAAACACAAACAGAAAGTTTTCTGGGCGATGGAGGGAGAGCCATTCAATTTTTATTAAATAACTTCATGCATGGCAAGTGCTTTGCTGCGAAAGGATTCGCTTCTCTAGTCGATGTTGGGATAGGAATGGGGATGAGAGTATGTGGATGAGGATGGTATGTCCTCCTGTCGCTGCTCGATGGCTCTGTCAATAGCAGTCGTAGCGCATCTGGGCGGCTGGAGTGGTTCTAAGGGGTAGGAGGAGGGGGTTGACAGGAGGATTTTTATTGATACGCCTCGATGCCAGGCTCCAAATCGCATATTATCGCGTCATGTGTGTATGTGTGTGAGAGAGTGTGGGTCTTGGGCGTATCCTGCCATGTCCTGCGCCTGCATTGATCATTAATCTTTGCAAGCTGCCAACGTGTTCGCCTTTTTCGGACCTCAATTGCCCCGGCGAGTGTGAGTGTGTGCATTAAATGGCGGATGAAGTCCATTAGAAAACTATTGAAGCACATTTTGTCGATTGCAGCCAGCATCCCATAGCCAACAGGCAACGGCCAACAGCACATTGCTAGCCACGAGTAGTCGAGCAGAGCCAAACTCCATATCCTGGCTATGTGGCAGGATGTGGCAGCTGCCGCAATTGAATGCTTGCTCCTCGATTTTAACCCCCCCTCAAGCAGAACCGAAAAAGAGATTTAAAGTGAGAGAGCAGCAAGAGCCAGGATTTCAATTAACCGACGAAAGAACTGCAATTTGTTGGCCTAATCGAAGCTTCTTTGTATCGAAAGGCAATATAGTGCAGCCAATCGAAAAATATGGGTTCTTTTCTATTCCAAAATTGAACAGATGCAGTCTTATACATTTTTAATTCAGATATTTGCTGCAGAAAAACGTGCTTAGAAACTACTACAACTTGGTTAGTTTGGGTTCTTTAAAGGTTCTTCAAAATATTCACAAGATTTCAGAAAGACAATTTTTGATATTTAAAGGAAAACGTTTCTAAAAAAGTGAATTCATATCTTCATAAAATTGCTGTCTAAATAATATATATTAAATTTAATTAGTTAGTTGCCAAATCCCAAACAGAACTTCCGAAAAAGGTAGAAAAATAAATAAAATATGAAAAGGATCCAGATGAGGATGCTCAACCGCAAATAAAGTTCTTTGAGTATTAAGAAAAAAGAATAAATAAAATGCTATTTAATATGAAGGAAAGAAGAAAAAAAAGGGAAGGAAAAACATACATCAACATCGGTTCTTTTTTTTTTACCCCGCTGGCTTATTTTCCATTTCCCTTCCACTTTGCCCTTTTATGCCATTTGCTGCCCTTCTTTTGTTGGTATTTTGCTTAATTATCCACATGAAAAGTCCTTCACAAATTCCATGGGGCCAGCGCGAGAAAGATGGAGCCAGCGGAAAAGCGTAAAATGAAATTACATTAACAGTGGAATAAAAGTGGAAATATGTTAGAAATGCGAGCGGTCCAGAAGTGAACGTCAAGTGCCAAAATGAAGCTAACTTTTGAAGAGATTTTCGCCTAGAGGTGGGAGATTCACTTTGGAGTTTTCCTTAATTTTTTTTTTTTTGTAGAAAAGAAAAGAGAGCGTGAATTCCAGTGGTAGATTTTGGTATTCGAAAGTGGCCATTACAAAAGTTGAATGGTCTCTGAAGTTGTTGCGAAGTTTGCTGAGTTCTGTTAAAAGCAATTAACTTTTTGGAATAGTTGGAGGAGGAAATTTATTTTTAATATTAACAAAAATCAATCTATCCATGAATTAATTATTATTAATTAATAAATAAATTCTGTAAACATTACTTTTTAAGCCTACTTGTGTTTTCTCTCACAACTCCCCCCTGTAAACATCTTTTCAAATAAAAATTCACTTATTTCTCAAAACATTCTTGCGCCCAATTAATTTCTGGTCTTTAGGAGCAGACAACCAAACGACTGACCTGATATGAATGGCACGGACCTTCATTTGACCCGCTGTCTGGCATTTTGGTATAAAGTTCAAATGCAAAAGCTGCCCACAAAGATCCTGCAAAAAAAAGGTTCAAATAACCCAAATAAATTCTTTGCACTTATTTAGAAATACTCCTTCGGCTTTTCCCTATTGACAAGAGTATTTATTTTTATTTTGGTTTAGCTTTTTTTTTCGGGGCTTTTCTCTTTTATGCAGTTCATTTGGCAACCGAAAGCAAAGAGGGGCTAAAAAAAAATAAATGGCAACAAACGAAAAAAAATTTAATTAAATCAAATACAATCAAATAGAAGTGTATATGTGTGGGATGCTGGCTTTTTAATTTGATTATATGTTTGCGCTTCTGCTTATTTTTATGTATTTTCCCTTTGGCGTATGGTTTTTGTTGTTTGAGAAAGACAAATGTTAAGGGAATAAGCAAAAAAAAAAAAACACGAGAAACGGCCACGAGTGTAAATTCAATTAAAAAACGCTTTTCAAATATTCATTACGCTAAGGGGATGGTGGGCGGAAGCAGAGGGAAGTTGGTTAATTAGCGCCTGGAAGTATGCTGCGGTTTTTGCCTCGATTTTATTTTTGAGGCGGAAAGAAGGCCGCCTGCTTGCATAATAATAATAATAATCATGTCGCAAGAAACAGGACATGCATGCTACAAGGCACTGGGAAAAATATTACTAATAACCACAAGATTCTTAAACAAATTTTTTGCAGGTGTAGAAAGAAGTTTTGAAATAACTTTTAGATAAGAAGGCAAAAAGGGAAGTACGAGAATGACTGTTTAATTAAAGTTTAGAGGGGAAATCACATGAAGAGTCTTATGAAGAAGCTCCAAAAATATGAACAAAAACGAATAATATATAAATAATATTTTATTCAATTCGATTTAATGCTTAAAATAAAATTTCTTACATCAAAATCTATAATTCAAGCCACCAGAAACTACAGAAGCAGCTATTATCAAATAAAAATTTACTCAAAATCATTTCAGAACCAAATTCCCATCAATCTAAACCATTTCAGCTAAGATTTTCTGCCTGTGCATCGACCCCATTCAACCCTCAAAAGCGGGCTTTATGGGAAAAAGTTCTAGCTCTCCAAAAAAAAAAAAAAAGGCGCTCAAAAAGCGTGGAAATTTGATTGTTGTTGCCGGCTGCGGCTGCGGCTGCTGTGTGGCATGATGAAGTGTCATGAAATTTAATCAATTTATTTGAAACGTGAGCGGATTCTCCGGCACTTCGGCCTCTGTGAGTGTGTTCTTGTTGTTGGGCAATAAATAACATCAGCGTCGTCTGTCTGCCGGGTCTGTCGGTCGCTCAACTAAAAATTGTAACAGAGCAAAAGTGCCAAAGTAAATAACAAACAATGAAAATGCAATAACAACAGGGCTCAAAATGGAAACAAAGCCAAAGGAGGGCAAGGAAGTTGCGGAGAAATAT